TTAAAAAACCTGCGGAAAGAAAGAAATGTTACTGTACTTTACAACGCCGTGTAGCATCCAGAAACAGAAAGCACCAGGGTCTCTCTCTGAATCTCAGCTTACACATTACAAACTGCAAGTGTGATCCATTTCTTTCAATATACCTTAAAAACAAGCACATCCCTGTCTACATTTTAAAGATAGATGTTTTTTCCCTGTTTTTACTTTCAATAGATGGCTCCATGGTGTGACCGCAGAACCGTTTGCAGCTGGATTTGGACCTATTTCTGAGCTGATGTTGACAAAGCCAAAGCCCAAAGCGAGCCATTCCACCTGACCACACTCCAACTGGATCGGCTGCCTCCAGGAACACAACTGCATAGTGTTCTCCTCAATTTGTGCCTGTTTAATTCAGCCAGCTATGCATGTCAACAAGCTACAAAGACTGGGACAGAACTTGGCCTGTACATAATAAACAGACATGTTATTCTAGTGAACTATTTGGCACTGTAGGCCTGGAGTTTTACGTTTCAGCCTCAAAAACGACACAGCTTCAGATCTCGGAATAACCATTGAGAGCTATTTTCCAGGTCCATACTTTGGACTGACGAACTGTCAGTGACTTTGGTAAAACTCTAAAAGGAGAGAAGTTGAAATTTATTGTTAAGTTTGACCTTTCTGTGGGACTAAAGGCAATTCCAGAAATTGTTTCGAGTTGATTCTCAAGAAGATCCGAGCCATTCTTGATTTCTGATCATGAATCTTCAGGAAAAGCTGTCAGGTCTGAAGGGTCTGGTCTCACATTCCCACAGCAAGCGTCGCCATAAAGGAGACCTAACGGTGGACATGATTAGCCCTCCTCTGGGAGACTTCCGTCACACCATGCACGTGGGCCGCGGTGGCGATGTATTTGGGGACACATCCTTCCTCAGCAATCACGGCGGGACTGCCAACGGGAACAATGGGGAAACTGATTCTGTTTCCAGTCCCGACAACAAGATCGGAGCTTTCTTCTCCAGGACCCTCCGTCAAATTAGGAGGGGCTCTGATAGTCGACCCAGAGAGGCATCCAAGGATTTCTCTCCACCGCCTCCTGCCATTTCTCCCATCATCAAAAATGCCATCTCCCTGCCCAGGCTGGATGTGGATATGCCTAATGGAAGCCCCACCACCAAGGTGCTCTTCCCCAGTTCTCAAAACACGCCTGAGGAGAAGAAAAGCTCTTATGGTGAGTGAGAGATCTGGTTTTTATGGATCAAATGATTATGCGTGGCATAATTTGATTCACTTTTATCACTCTTATTAGCCCTTACCAGCCTACACCAAACATCAGGAAGGAAAACTAGAAATTAGCGGGTAAAGAGACGGATTTTCCATTCAGTAGGTGATCGGAAGGACAGAAACACTAAATGAATGCTGATTTTCTCCAAGGTACTGCCATGGTACTTTGCTTGTAATGAATATTGTAAATACACTGACCAAAATGGTCATTAGTACCCTGGAGTATACCGGCTAGCAGAGTCGTATTCAAGCTAAATTTATGGATATTGTCACCACGAGCAGTGCGCTGTTGTTGCTTTATAGTCGTGCACACAAGTCTGTTTCTGTAGCCTCTGCATGGGTTGATTTCACACAATTACTCTCTCTGTGTAGTTAAAGCGCTATGAAAATAGATCCCAACATGGGACCATAAATGCCACAAATCAGATTTGCTATATAAGCTAATGTTACACTAGTTGAGCCCGGTTTACTGTGGGAAACTAATTGGATAATTCGTGGACTTCTCGGGCTCAGGCCCTAGTCCCTACGCTCTTAGGCTCACCTTTGCCCAGTCCTTCAGGAATCCTTTAACGACCAAATCACTAAGCTGTCCCTAAGTGCCTTCCTTTCTATTAAATGACATCACTGGTAAACAATGTCTCATGTGGGCAAAAGTCAAATAGGTTAAGTTCCAGCACAGTGTTCCAGCGTTAACTAGGAACTGTAGGAATGTGGGGATCATCTGTTGAAGTGCAGTGAAATGAATCCATCATGTACCCAGAGATCTAGAGGCAGACTGCCCCAGATGTCCTTATGAATCACCTTGGCTCGTAATCAGCAGCGTTTACATTGATAACACACCTAGATCCAGACAGAGCTGGCAGCGAGCTGTCTGGGAGGCTGTTTGAATGTTTGAATGACCCCTGTTAACACCACACTCATGGCTGATGCAGTCTGGCCTGCTTTGTGTGTGTGTGTGTGTGTGTGTGTGTGTGTGTGTGTGTGTGTGTGTGTGTGTGTGTGTGTGTGAAGGGTTTGGTGAATATAAAAACAGCCCACAGGAAAATCTTTTTTTTAAACCTTTCTAAATTTTCACTTTATCATTAACTTATTTGTCTAATGATTCAGTGACTTCATGATCTTCAAATTTAAAGAAACAGATTTACATTTTTAGATATTGTTAGAAACAATAAGGACCAGAGAAAAGCTTAAAGGACGCCTCATTGTTCTTAATAAATGAGATTTGAAGCTTAAGCCTAACTTTAAACAGAGTCAAGGGGGCAGTTTGCCCATGTTTACAGGCTTTTTGCTAAGCTAAGCTAACCATCACCTGTTTGCAGCTTCATATTTAGCATATTGACATCAAATCTTATAGTTAAGTGAAAGGAATCCAGTTTCTTTCATATCTGTTCCTTTAAATGATGAGTGAGTGATCAGATTGTATTTGAGTTCCTGACCTCTTTAATCCCTGAAATGTGATCAGATCACCAGTGAAAGTGAAAGAAAACAGGTTTTAAATAACTATATATAGGTATGTGTGATGTTTTTATCTGGATATGAGTTGATGTCTGCAAACATTTTTATTTATCTAAAGCCTTTAAAATAATAACGGAACTGAAGCTACTTAAGTTTCCAGTTATGTTGCGTTATGACAGATTGCACGTTTTCTTGAAACAAATCCTCCATAAACTGGTTTAATTCTTTCTCTCTCTTTGGTTAAAATGTGCAAACTGTAAAATCCGTAACTGTTTTCGTTGGTTGAAATGAAAACCTCCCGACTCTTGGCCCGATACAGCTGGCACTGAGAAGTGCTGTAATTTACCCATTTTGTCCTGCAGGCAGCATTTTGTGAGTGCGTGACTTATTCTGTGATCCGGCAGCATCGGGCCGATGATTCACTGTTCACAGAACGGGACAAGTCAGCACTTTGGATGCTGAAGTGGTTTTTTGCCAGGTTTTAATCGTGAAGCAATATGAATACACACTGCCCCCTGCTGGAATGGAATGTAAAGTCATGCAACTGCATCAATCTACTTTAAAGAGCTGCATATGCAAACTCTTCAGTGCAGAGTTAACTTGTTTGTATTCATCTTGTTTTTTTGGTATTCTGTGGTTGAGCTTGTTACTGCTTTAGAGGTTTCTTTGTAACCTCTGGATTGAGCTGATTTTTATTGATATATGGATTTCATGTGTCTCCTGCTCAGGTCTGGAGTCTGGTTTTGTCACCTTGCCTCGCCTTTCGCGCTCCGAGCGTCAGCAGCCGTCCATCTCCATCCCCACCTCCTGCTCCACCAACATTCACCGCGGCTCTCTGACCGACCCCTCTGACATCATCTTGTCCACCTGCTCCGCCTCTGTTGAAACTTCCGACCCCTGTCGCACCACTGCCTTTTCCGACTCCCTTCCTTCCCTCACCTCCCTGGATACCTTCACTTTTGACCTTGGCCCCTCCCTCATGAGCGAGGTATTTAGCCTCATCGATGGCCACCCGGAGGAGCGCAGCCACACCTGGGAGGGAGAGGAGATAGGGTCAGCATGCGGGCTGACCGCTGAAGGTTCAGAAATGGACTCCTTGGCCACAATCTCATACGTGGATTCATTGCTGAAGGAAGACTGTGGGAGTGGAAAGATCCCACATGGGGCCCAGTGGGAAGAGGAGGAGGGGAGCGCAATGGAGTCGAATGGAGTCGGGCTTTCTGTTAAAGTTCCTGATGTAGTGATGGGGTCTTCTGAGAGGGGAATGATGGGAGTAAGGATGGAGAGCAAACGATTTCAGAGTGCTACAGACGTGCTCGCTCGTCACTATGGTGCCGGCCTCTTAAAGGGACAGAACAGGGCTGAGACCGGAGATTCAGAGTTCATGAGCCAGCCAAGGAAGAAAATATCCTACAGTTATATGGATGACGAGGACGAAATTAAAGTCTGAGCTCAGAAAATCAAACATGTTGGAAAAAATTGTTTAAAAAAATGTGATGTATAATTCCTCTGAAAGTCCAATCAAACCAATCATGTAAAATCATCATGTGGATGACAAAAGGCTGGTTCTGCTGACAGAACGAGCATGGAAACTTAACACCCTTCGCCCTTAATACAGAATTCCTTCTATGCAATCGTGCTCCGAGGATATAAAATTTTGATTCAAACCTGCTGCTGAATGTACCTAAAAGGAGTGAAAGACTTGGCTGCTGCACGTTTCCTGCTCTGCACAGGAAAATAACTGAAGCAATGGAGGGTATGGAAAGTGCGGATGTACTAGCGAATGTAGTTACAATCAAAGGAAAGCCCAGCGTTACTCAACGCGGAAGTTGCAACGCCTGACGTTCACTTTATCCTTTTTTACACTTCCTCATATACGAGGGGGAAAGGCTTCAGGTGCAAGACCAGATTACTAATGAGAACACAGAAAGGAAGTCGGAGGGGGGGTTGGAAAAATATATTTGGTCTTAACACAAACTTTTGCTATCACTACAATCTCTTTTTACTCAGGAATATACTAGCAGGGGAGAAAAAAGGGAAGAACAGTACTTAACAAGAAAAGGGGAAATCCCAGAACTTACAGTGTAAAGTCTCATCAGATAATCAGAGATCTCATTTATTACACTACGTGGACCAATGTAATACTACACGTAATACTGGTATTTGCTAGATGCAACTAAAGCCTGAATTATATATTGTGCATTGTATGCTGCAGACCTTCTATATAGATAATCTGCGCACCTTTTTTATGATTATGAAGTCCGACCCGTGTATTGCTTTTTTTAAATAGAGGAAACATCATGCATATGTTACTTTATAAAGCTGCACATGAAGATATCTGCTGACCTCCTATGAATATGTACATACAGTATGAGCACCTGCAGTAAGTACATAGTGCAATTCACATCCATATGCTGCAGCCAGTACCAGCAATTATACTACAAAAATATAAAATGACAATAAAGGTGTTTTTAATGAGTTGTGCATTCATTTCAAGTTGGTTTAAAGGAATATTCCAGACACACTCTATAAACCCCAAAACACTGCTGTAAAAAGTTTGAATTTTCGAGGACTGTTCAAAGTGAGCACAGCCACTATCGGCTTATGGGTGGGGTATCGTTTAATAAGTGAAATGCCAAAACCAGAGAAAAAAAAGTTTTCCCACACTAAAATAGCTTACACAAATACAATTGTTTTGTACATTTATGGACAATTCCACAGGAAAATATTTTTGCTGTGAATTCATTTATCATACGTCTATTTTTTTTTTCTCTGACCGTAAAACCATCAGAATAAATAAAATTACTAGGCTGGTTACGGGAAAAAAAATCTGCAACACTTAAAATCAACTTACTGAACAATCTGAACGTACCCAGCACTCTTTGTCTTTTTTTTTTTAATGACAAAATATGAAAGTGTTTCAGCGGCTGTTCTGCTCGACTCAATAACAGAACTTTGAGGGACATTTGTTTCTCACTGTGCCATAGAAGGAACCTCTTTTGCCTGTGATGGTGGGGGAAGAGGTGGAGGGCAGTTTGGAGCTTTGAGTCCAGGCTTTTTCGGAGGAGGCTTTTTCATGCTGGCCTGCTGTCCTCGGGGTGCAGGCGTCGGATGGGGCCTAGTGTCTGGAACCGTCGCAGGTGCGATCGGGGGTGGAGGGGCATGTGACTTGAGAGGTGGCGGCAGTTTTGGTTTGGAGAACTGAACCGTGACCTGCTCGTTTGGCTGGTTAGACTTGCTCGGGGGGAAAGTTCTCCTTGCTGTAAGAAAGATAGCGGGGGGGGGGGGCGGGGAAATGACAGCATTGAGCGCACGAGTACAAGAAGTCATGCACTTCTGAAAGCGAAAATCACAAACCTTAAACAACTGAACTATATCTGTGGTATACACTGTAAATAAAAGACAGATTTAGCCGCATTTTTAATGCCTGAGCTGAATCACCAGACACGATGTGATATAACAATAATTCACATACTACAATTTATCACCTCTTTTGCAATTTATGTCCTCATATTTAAAAGACGTCATTATCTGTGTTATCCAGTAAGATAAAGTTATCTCACTTCTCGGTTTTTCTGCTGTAAAATGAGATTTTTGAGCAACACTGTCACTAAAACCTGCCCCAAATGTTGACATGTTGAGTCAGTCTTATATCAGTCTGCAACTGAAAGGCATTAAAATGGCAATTATATGCAATCTGTTTTTCCTAATACAGCAGTTAACACCAAATAAATCACATGTCTGTTACAATCTGCTCTAGAGGTTAACACACTCTACATGTTACATAGACTATAAACCTATCACTATATACATGTGTCAGGTTTAGCTACGGTTTCAGTGCTCGTACAGTCTATGTTTAGCCGATATGTACAGATATGTAATTTCTCATTCAACTACATTTGATTTATGTGTTTAGTTTACTTCATTGACAGAGTTTCATTTAAATTCTAATATCAAATTTCGACATCTGGTGGAAGTATATGACTACCCAGTTGCTTTACATTGTATAAGCTATTATACAAATGCACTGCATTTAAGGAAAAATGGTTTGGTAGATAGATGAACAGCATGATACTTATAAGGCAACATCTTTCAGCCAGCGAGGCAGTTACAAAAGTGTAAGAGATGACGCATGAACCTAAAGATTGATACTCTGGTCAGCGGTGTGAGACTTCCTGTTTCCTGTGTACATCCTGATTGTTAAAATAACAGCGGTAGATGTATTTTTCCTCATATTAAAATACATCGAATTACCAAGCCACTATTTTGACTAACGAGTCTGTACTGAGCTTTCTACAATGGAAAAGAAACAGTAAGTGCTGATAGAGATACGCTCAGTCCAAAAATAGCTCCTTTGGTAGGGATATTTATAATATGGTAAAAATTACCCTGATGATCTCATCTTTATGCACTGGGATCATGATCTTTAAAATTTGAAAGATAATGCGTAATAGGATATCCCAGCTTCACCTGCGTCAGCTTATATTAGAGTAATGTAATGTCTCGTGTGTACGTATGAAAAACTAAAGTGCTGAAAGTGCTTCTGGAGAGGCAGTCCCTGCTCGACCTGTTTGACTGAACCTTTGACTTACGTTTAAACGGTGACGCGATCTTCACTAATGCCCTGGGAGAATCTGGCGGTGCTTCCAAAATTGGCTCGAGCGGGTTCTGTTCTGAGATCTGCCTCTGGGTGGGACTCCGGGCCTGGCCTGAGTTTGTCGCAGATCCCGCTGCTCTGGGAAGCGGAGTCGGGTTCTGGTTTGCTGTTGAGCTGGACGCGACTGTAGAGTCAGAGGCCGGAGACGGGCCGGGATCGGTCAAGGATGAGCTGCTGGGCGTCCTGTTTGGTTGAGCAGGTGCTGCCGTCTCCGCTTCAGGGCTGCCCCACGTGGAGGTGCCACTGCGGCCGCTCACAGAGCCAGATTTCACCAGGAAGGAGACGCCGCTGTCCTGAGAGGCTGTGCTGCAGGTTCAAGTATTTTAAAGAGTTTCCACTTTTTAGTATTTGTAGCCACTGAATATTTAACATCATATCATAACATATCTTAAAATATAAATATCTTTGATATGATTACTGCACTTATTACCTACCTGTTTGTCTTGGAAAGAGGGAAGTGATATGCAGACGAGGAGGCTGTGGAGGAAGAGGAGGAAACAGTTCTGCTCAGTTTCCCCTTTTCTGGGACAACGGGAGAGGGCAGAGACGCATCCAGGACCTCGGGAAGTTCTGGGATCTCGAACGAGAGAGCTGATCAAAACAAATAAATAAAAAGAGTCTTACTCATTGCACTCAGCTGATGTAAACGTTCATCCCCGTTCACATCATCTACATTCATCTTTGACCTGCTCCACTTGCCACATGCACAGTTTCCTGTGCAAGGGTGCATCTAAGGGTGTACTAAGTTTCTGAGCGGGTGTTGCAGAGAGGTGAAAAATAACACAGGCTTTATTCATTTCCATGTTTTTCTCCCGTATTCTTGACAGAACAAAGCAACATTCATATTAACTGCAACTCGTGTTTTTAGCAAGATATAAAATACAATAAAATAATTGTGGTTATTGCAAATACGAAAAGAAAAAAATATGTTACATTAAAACCACCCACACATGAACTGTGGTTAACAGCAGACTCAGTCAGAGCAACTGATATTGTGTAAAAGTGATTCTGTGAAGATCTGTATTGTTTGCGATCTGGCTTTCTTACCAGATAAGTAAGTCACATACATGTCTAAGGGCCCAGTTCTTCATTTTTCTGTATCATATCATATGCCCGCATCAGTGTATGTATCTTTTAGCCATGCTGAGCAACAAGTCTTCAAAGAACAACTTTCAGTTTACATTAAGAGTGCATTTACCTTCGGGGAAGAGATCAGAGCTGTACTGAATAAGAGGCTCAATGACTGTCACCACCTGGACTGAAGAAGCTGAAGCCATGTCAAAGAGAGCAGCTTCCCTAACGAGGCAAAGTGATTGAGAGAGCAGAGAAGGACTCACATAAAGCACAAATATTGTTAACAGTGTAAGAACAGGAATAACTTGGAATATGATTAAACACACGTACCCCTCAGCTCGCGGCCAGAGCAGGTTTGGTCCCAGGACGATGGCGATGTTACTTGGTGTCATTTTGTTTATAGCCTGCTGCTCAGATAACAGAGACAGGAACTGGACCAGGTACCTGATAAGCAAGAAAAGAAGATGGAAAGAAAAAAATGAAGAAGACTTATAGACATATTAACACAAGATATATGAAGATTGAAATAAATATAAGACTTGTTGATTTCCTCTGCCATGTTAGCAACACTGAGGCTGTGCTTTGAAATAAGGGTAGTATGAGCCAAATGTTAAGCCATTTAAGGTGGGCAGATATATCTGAGTGGTATCAGATCAAAACTTTGTTTCTCTGCTTTAAGTTCACTGCGTAGCCCACTCAGTGGTGTTACTTTTATACCTCCAACATGCACAATGAAAAATGTCTGAACATTTGTTTTATTTCAGCGCACTGAAATAATAGAAGCTGACTCTAAGTAACTGAGGGACAGGTACGTTTATATTCCAGGTCTAAAAAGTACACACAGTGATTTCATGATCACTAAAATGTGTTCAGAATTTGCAGTGTGATGATGAGTCATCCCATAAGTCACACTGCTCTCCCTAAACATAAAATGCCTTAAAAGTATCACTATTTGTATCGGTATTAGCAATACTGGCCCTGTATTGACTCGGTATCAGATTAATACCTAAAGTTGCAGTATTGCACAGCACTATTAAGCCACACATAATGATAACATGTTGATGCATAGTTCGCTGACTTGGTTGATGAGGTATGGTGGTCCTTAAAGGTCAAAAACAAGAAAACAGCAGCAAATAGAGAAATTCTGCAAAAGCATGCAAAACACAAAGGAAGTAAAATAAAACACAAAGGAAGTAAAAAAAACACAAAGGAAGTAAAATAAAACACAAAGGAAGTAAAAAAAACACAAAGGAAGTAAAATAAAACACAAAGGAAAGAGGAAAAATGGCAGCAAAAGCTCCAAAATAACGTGACAGCACAGCTGCAGAAGTGAGACGCTAACAGTAAAGGGCTAACAGCAGGCATGTGTCCACAGTTACATGAATCATGTGATTAAAACACACATTACACAAAACATCAGGGGTTTTTTTTTCACTTCTATTGTGTTTTACTAAAATTCCTTTGTTGTTTATTGGGTGTGTCTTGTGTTTTTGTGTGTTTTTGCAGTGTTTTTTCTATTTGCTGGTGTTTTCTTAGGTTGCAGTGCATTTGACCTCTCAGGTCCACCATACACAGAACCAACAGAAGCTAATTCAAGACACATTAAAAACTAACTAGACATCTGAGCAGAAACTCAAGGGCCAAAACTGAACCCAATACATCTTTTTTATATTGTCTTAACCACACATACTATATATATACAAAACAAAGAGCCATCATGACTCATGAGCCAACAATACTGCTGAAATATTTCAGTTAGGTAAATTTAAAAAACAACAACAACTTCTTCGTCAGAACATTTGATCGTGTGAGTGCAAAAAAAGAAAAAAGCTATTCACAGACTACACACCTGAGGTTGTTGTAGTTTTCAGGTGGCAGTTTCTTTAGAAGTATCTTGAGTTGTTCCAGCTTCTCTGACAGCTCTTTCTCCCTATGGGGTCAGAGGTCAGAGTTAAGGAACACACCACAGTCAAAATGAGAAATGTAGAAATTGATTTTGTACAGACCCTGCTGCTTTAAACCAGTCGTTGTAGAGGTCAAACGTCATTAGAGGTTCGGGAAGTTCTCGGAGGTAACACTTCAAAGCTCCTGTCGACACATTCAGAAGTAAATCCCACCGTTAGATAAAAACACATATATTTATTAACCCAAAATATTCCATTTTGAATTTAACCTTCTTGCTGTTTTCTCAACATAATCCATTAATAAACACTTTTATATTGCACTGCTATAAATAATTCTAGCGCACTGAAATGGTGTTTTTGATGTTCACAGGAAGCTGTGCTTGGAGCAAACAGAAGAGGAACTGGGTTGTTAAAATGAGCTGTGAAAGTCACATTGGCTGGCCAGATGAGGAAGAGCCCTCATGACGGGAAATGGAAGAGGGCACAGCCTCACCTGCCACGGCGTGAGGGTCCATGCTGAACTCGCTGTGGTCCACCGTCCCTTGATTCAGACACGTCTTCAGCCTCTTCATCACCGAGGCTGCGGCGGCCAAGCGAAACAGACCCTGAGGAAAGACGACGGTTCATGAAAAACGGGAGAAAAAAAAGAGCGTTCGAGCGGTAGAAGTCGCAACCAGCCAGCAGTCAGTCAGTTCAAATCAACATAACCAGGGAAAGCCCCCACGGCTCAGAAAGAAAGTGTTAACACCCTCTTTACTGATTATATACGTTTAGACACTGATTTTTTTCCACCCTTTCAGTTTGTCCATACAGTTTGTGCTTAACATGCAAAACTGATTACTTTCCCATCAATCTTAACTGTACTTTGTAGTTACTGCAAATGAACAAACATTAACACACCAATGCTCTAAACTTCTTTTTAATTTTTGTGAGTAAATCTGACTCCAGTTTTGCAGAGCTGCTGGCCCGTACACGTTGATTTATATAGGACCTGTGATGTTAATTTGGAGCTCTTTTCTTTGTTCCTGTGATGCTACACTAGCTTTGGTTCAAAAGAATCAATATTCATATAACACTGGGCCTTTGTGCAGCTCCTCAATTCAGCCGATAGCTGAGCCGTGAGCCTGAGAAGACCATGTGATGCATTATAGTGATCCAAGAGTATACAAAGTGTCTAAATTAGTGCTTAGAGCAGCATAAATCCTGAGAGTTACATAACAGTAATAACCTCAGAAAGCAATATGATGTGCACTCAGGCTTGGACGGTGCATAGCAATTTAAGTGGGCAATGAAAGCACTTTTAATTTGCATATTTCTGGGTCTGCGTGTTATGACTGCGAACACTGTGCGGTACCTCCTCTCTCATGCCTGTTCTCAGCAGCATGTGAATACACTCCTGGATGGGCGCCGCGATTTCTCTGTTGCTTTGAGACAAATGTGAGAGCAGAGGCTCCCCGTAGACCTTCTGGTTGGAGAGGCTTTGTGACGACTCTGCAAAACACACAGCAGGCATGATGACACGTATCGCAATATTACATCAGTGCAGCGGATGAAACGCACGGACCTGAGAAAACTCGGATTACCTTTTTGACTGTGATCCTCTTTGAGTTCACTGATGTTTTTATCCAGGAACATGTGAGAATTCTTGTGGTATTCTGCCTGCAGCTCGAGAAGCTATTTTTTGACCAAGAGAGAAGCAGAGGCGGTGGATATAAAAAGAAACAAAAGTCAAAGTTAAGAAAAAGGTCACATCATTACCGTAACGGTGACTCACACGAATAAAGTAATTTGCATAGTCATCCTCCTTAGTTGCAAAGTGATACAGGTCTGCAGAGTACTGGTCCTACAGAGACAACAGCAAAAGGTCAGAGATCAAGACGACGCCATTGATTCCAAACAGGCGGAAGACAGACACTTAAACACTTGTACCTTGATGCTCTCCAGCTTCCTCCAAGCTTCTTCCATTTCTTCCCTAAGCCCATCCTGCTTTGCCTGAGGTCCAGTGCTAGCCTGACTCCTGACCACACATACACACACACGCCGACACATAAAAAAATTTGAAAAATTGTGGGGTGGGGTGTGTGGTTAAAGTGCAGGATATTTAAAAACCTCACCTCATTCTTGCATTGTTCCAATCTGTTGTGAGCTTTGCAAACTGCTTTTTGTTCCTTAGAATTTCAGGTAAATCATCCTAAATGGACACAAAAAGGGAAAAAAAATATTTTATGTGATCATTTAGTTACATCTAGAGGATTGTGCATGAGTGTAGTCTATATTTCTAAATAATCACATACAGGGGATGGGCAGAATATAGCAAAGACTTAACAATGACGTTCAAGTGGCTACAAAAGCACAAGTAGTTAACTCATCTAGCATTTAACGACCTCCTCTGTACCTATAATGACGAGTTTTGACACCTCAGTGTACATCAGTAAAGTTGTGGTTTGATGACCATTTGAACAGTTTGGGGGGGGGGGTTCCAGTTAATGTTTGATGCAAACTGAGTCATTTTGTTCAACAGGAAAGGGAACTATGAGAGAAACCCTTCTGTTCATGAATATTAATGAAGGAGCTTCACGGGTTAAAAAGTTAAAAAGCACTTTTAGCCTAAATTATATCAGAACATGTTCTTGGTTTTGCTCATCACTGATCTTCTGTTCAGCAACATGAACATTAAGCTGTTGTCACCTCGCTAAGCTTGTTTAGTGGCTCCAGGACCTCCTTCTCCACTTTCATCTCAAAGTCTGCCAGCATGTTGGCCAGCATCTTCTCCATGAAACAGCACATTTCCAGCACCCTCCTGTCACACACACACATGACCAAATCATAATAAATATCCACCTCAAATCTGATATACTGTTTTGGAAATATATCAGAAGACATGCTATAAATTTCATTTAAAAGTGCAAATAATCAGATAAAGCATGTTCCTTCAGATTTAAACTAGATAAATCAATATACAAAGCAAATGGCATGGATGCAACCCATCAGGCTAACCTATTACAGCGCTAAACTCTAAATAAAGCAGATGCACAGAGCTCTGGTAGCAAGTCATAGACAGCATCCTCTTTCTTTTTTCACCCAGAACTGAAAACTCGAAAACCTCCACACTACAGTCATGAGGTTTTTGCATGACTCTAGTGTCAGTAAGAGCATTGGAGTTCAAGTACAGAACACAGATGGATCAATGGAGGGGTGGAAGGGTAACTGCAGAAGATCAAACCTGTCACCTGATTGAGGACTCTGCATCGAAGTCTTTCAGACTTTCTGCCATGCTGACAGACAGAAGCATCAGAGGAAGTTTTTTCTGTAGAGAGAGGAGGACATGTGACATTTTTCAGTAACTAACAGAGCATTTCCATAAACCACGCAGATGCATTAACACTGCTACCATTCGTTTTTCGGCCTCCAGCCCCGGTTGACTCTGCATGCAGCTCTGCAGCTTTTTATGGAGGACCTGAGCTGCCTTCCTGGCTGGTTCAATCCTCTGCTCCACCTTTGGTCAAACACACATACGGTGAACCTTAGAGCGTCTAATGATGGTATTTAATTTATTATTTTACTGCTATAAATGATGTGTGCAAACGAAAAATGCTATTGTTGCATAAATTTACATGAAATAGAAAGTGGGTGGTAAGTGAATGTGTCCTCTAGTAGAGCTAGTAGAGCATCGCTGTGGTAACCATTGACAATATACAGCTATGGCTATAAACCACACTGTATCTTGAATAATACGTTATTCATAACAGTATAAGAATAAAAGAAATCTGTAAGGGTAAAGCAGATTATTTTTCTCACCATAACCAGGTCTTCATGTAGAAGGTCGGTAGCATCTTGTGACCTGCAAAAAAAATGATATTAATTTAGAAAAGATCTGCTGTTTAATGTATTTTTTTAGCATGATATCTAATGCAGCGGTCCCCAACCGCCGGGCCACGGACCAGTACCCGTCCATGAGTCGTTTGGTACCAGGCTGCAAGAGTTGAGGCTCGGGGTTAATCATTTTTATCGATAACTCGGTTTCCTTGGGTCTTTCCCGCGTGTTATTTTTTTTGGTACTGGCACTGGTGTTACTTACCGTGACACCTTAAAGGGCAGTCTGTGAAAATATTGTCGGACATAAACCGGTCCGTGGCGCAAAAATGGTTGGGGACCGCTGATTTAATACATATAATTAAGCTAAGGATAACACGTGTCTGTTGATATTCAGTGTTTTCTAAATTTATTTAAATCAACTCAATTAAACATGCAACCTTGGACTGTGATATTGTGCTGCTGTTTTTATATTCTGTGGCTGGTTACTCAGCTAATCAAAATGTGAAAAAATTCTGTTAGCTGTAGCTAAAAAGAAATAAATGTCAAAAAAATAAAGGGGCTTGAAATGTACATTTTGACTTAAAAATCGTATCGGTCTCAATGTTTGAAACCAACCTGTAACCTGTGCTTAAAACGGAAACTTGAAAAATGCTAGCATTAGCATGCTAACGTGCTCACAATGAACATAGCCAACATGACATCACACACTGGTTTTGAAGTTTAAAGTTTACTATTTCAGTCATTGCTATCTTTTTTTACATATATATTATTATTTTAAACTAGACATAACAAACCAGACCTGGACTTTAAGGCTGGTAAAAATGTAAATACACCATTACTGCTTCTAGGAATTCAGAGGATAAGTAGCAGAGAAACTGTTAAAAACCACAAGAGCTACATTTAAATTAGTATCTACAGATTACACAAACTGTGTAATCTTTTCATCTTCATGGAAGTACAGCTATAAAAAGATCGAACAAGTGTGGCTTGTTTGGAAAGGTTCTTAGCAGAAAGGCTCTACAAAAAGAACATTTCAGCTCAGCACGGTGGCCGTGCCTGAAAAAAGTACAAATCTTCTGGAGCAATGTCACAGCTCCATGTTTGACCAAAAGCCCCAGAGAATCAAACCCAGAGCTTTACCCAGAGTATCGACACAAATGTCTCATGTATTAAGCACGATGGTGGAGGGGTGATGATTTGGGCTTGTTTTGCAGCCACAGGATCTGTGAACCATGCAACCACTGAGTCAACCATGAACTCCTCTGTGCACCAAAGTGCTCTAGTGTCAAACGTGAGGCAATCTGTCCGTCAGCTAAAGCTTAGGTCAGAAAGGACATGCAACAGAACATGATCCTAAACGCTGCAGCAAACCTACAAGAGAATGACTGGAAAAGAATCAAGGTGTTGTAGTGACCACATCAAGTGCAGACATCAACTTGAATGAAATGCACGACATGTGAGAGAAGAGTGGGTCAAAATAATTCCGTAACGATACGAGAAACTGATAAAGTCATACAGAAAATGAGTACTTCACACTACTACTTCTACAAACTGTTGAATCATGGGATGTACAGTTAAATCTAGTTTTCTAGTTCATTAATCGGGTAAAATACAGTTTCAGCCATTATTACTCATTTGTGAGACTAGATAGTGGGACTATCCAAAAGTTGTCCAGTTATAAATAGAGACCCAAACATCAAGTAATACACATGAAACACCAATATAACCTAACATAACCGAAATATCATGAATATAGTCATGAATCTTTCTCATATATATGTGGACTTGGACGATGCATCACACCCTGCTGACCATCAGAAAGAATGCCACTTTAAGGCACTTCTGCACTGGCATCAGTCTTTTATATACAGTCATTTAGCAGGTAAGTGATGTTTACCATGTTGACTATCTCAGTTTACCATGTTGCTGTGCTAATTAATATGTGCTGATTAGTCACAAACATAAAGTACAGCCCCAGTTGACTAGACTTGCTTTCAGTAACAAATCAAATGAAACTTTCACCAAGAAGTCATCGCAATTTTTTGGTGTATTTGAGCACACCACGTGATAAAGTTATTTCTGTACCGGGTAACTGACTTTCCTACTGTTTCAGTGCAGTGGCCTCGCAGTTTGCGCCTCTTCTGCATGGGGGACATAAATATATCTAAATGTGGGGGTGGTAAAAGATAAAGGACATTTTAGGCCTGAATAACATGCGACACCATGACAAGAGCCTAAGCATGGGCGTGTAGGGTAGTGCTGTGGTTTATTTAGCACCAGGTGGGGAGGACTGCAACACCACAAGTTTCTCTGCTGTCACAAGAGGAGGCAAAGCAATCTACAGAGAGCCGATAAAAGTCACTGCAGCCATTATGTTTGTGCTAAGCTGAAAGGAAACCAAGCCCAGTTCACAAAGAGTTCAGTTATGCTTCAGTACTTCTAAGGTATAGTTTTAATTCCTCTCGTGAATCTAAAATCTGGCCTTTCGCAACACAAGGAGAAGAAATCCTCAGTAGGTGCTTGTTTTAGAGCACATATACTTTATTAGGAAGTGTATGTGAGACCTTAGAGGTGTATGTGTTTAGATCAGTGTGCAATATGTCTATTTATATGTGTGTTTATTTCATCAGAGCTCAACGCTCCAGTACAAAGTGAAAAGTGCTGTTCGTGTTAGTTGGAGCCCACGTTGCCCTGCTGCAGATGCACGCTGCCGAGTTTATTATTAAACCAGAATGCGTCAAAGGTAAAGGGAGCACAGCCTGAAACCACACTCCTCTAGCCCTGCTGCATGCAAGCTTGTACCAAGAAAACCAAATAGCGCAAAGGTGCATGATTTAGTCACCCACTTCTTTGCTAACGCCAGTCACTCAGTGGTAGTCAACCACAGGAATGCCTAACATAATCTGGCACCTACTTTCAACTTTAAGGTGTTGTGCAAAAGTCTTAAGCCATCCCATATTACTTCATTTTTTTGCAAGGAAAACAGGAAATGGGTGTTTACTGAAACATGTGCAAACCTGCATGGAAATACAGTATATAAGGCAAAAACAGAGTTTTGAATAACTACCAAGTCTGTTTTTCATATGACATATTTATTCTTCATGGCAGTTTGAACTCTAGTATGCAGGTTTTGTGTAGTCTGTGGCTCGTCTGTGAAGCACTTTGTTGTACCTGTGACTCTTAAATGTGCTATAGAAATAAAATTGAAATTGAAATTGAAATAGTCTTCGGGAATAGTTCTCTGGGCTTCTTGGAAGATATTCAAAGCTGTACTTGGGATTTTGGTCTTTTGTTCTGTTCTCTGTCCAGATGTTCCCAGACTGCTTCAGTGATGAGGTCCGGGATCTATAGAGCCCAGTGCATTACTATTCCACTGTGTTCTGATACTGCTCTGACAACGTGTTTGGGTCTTGAAGACAAATGAAGTCAATCAAACACTTTCCCCGTGCAACATGGCTAAAGTCCAGTAAATCTATGAGTTCTATCAATTTTGACAAGCTCTCCAACACCACTCGCTGAAATGCAGACCCAAACCATGACAGAGCCTCCACCGTGTGTTACAGATAAACTCTCCTGACCTGAATTTCAAATTTGGATTTAACACTCCATCAGACCCAACAATTTTCAGTCCACTTCTTGTGTAATTAGGCATACCTCAGCCTTTTCTCCCCGTTTCCCTTCAATAAGCTACCTGCCAGACACCCTTCCACTGAATTTCTAACGAGGCTTTAGCGAGCAGTATGTGAATCAGCTGAAGAGCCTTCAAAAAGCCCGGAGAACTGTTGTGACAAAGGCTTTTATTTTCCAGTTAATGTTTGCACTGTTGAAATATCAGTTTAGCAATTTAAAAGCAACCTCCTGACAAAGAGCCACCATCTTTCCAGAGTGTGTTTCTAACATTCACCACAACCTTGAGTCAGTTTCTCTGTTCAGAAGTGCTCAGCCGCTCTGAGTCCGAGGTTTCCCTCAAAATCCAAACAGTATGAGTCACTTTAAAGAGGAACCAGCTACTTTACACACTTCCATCACACTGAAAGTGAGAACGTACAAAAAACCAAATCAGATTATCAAACTGATACGAAAACTGCACTGAGAATTCCCCTCCCTCTTAGCGTTAAAGAAAATAAAGTCTCAAAGTAAAGCGATCCATCGTATTAGTAACGCAGCGGTGGATAATTTTTCATGTAGTCTGATAGCAGGAGTGGCATTAAGGTGACTGGTAGTATAGGATGAGCATAAATGACAAAAATAAAGCAGAGAAGTCTCAGTGATATTTCCCTACAGACAGCCACCGAATACTACTGTTCAAGCTGATGTATATTCATTACACTATGGTCACGGCTGTGGTTACTGATTTCTTTATCTAATGCGGCAATATGTAACTCAAGGGACATCTGTCTTACACGACGCAACGTTTGGCGCCACAGAAGACCTTAAATTTACTTTAAATGTGATCATAATGTCGTTTAAATGCAACATTCAGAATACAAGTTCAGGCTTACCTTGTCGCAGTGCCCAACTGCTTCAGGATGCTCAGAGACTGCCGGAGCATGCTGGCAGCAGAGTCCAACCAGCCTTTCTACCTGACCTACCCACTCTTGATCGACTCAGCAAGGTAACCTGTTAATTAAAAAAGAAAAAAAGTGGAGGAAAAGTCCACACAGGCTCCAGGCTGCGTTACTGCATCAGGAAGAGAAAGCACAGACCGGTGGCTCTGCCTCTGCTTTGTCTGGTTTTTGTGTGTTTATGCATGCGCGTTTTGGCCTTCAGTTTTCGTTCTCGTTTCAGGAGCACGCTCTCAAGTCACGTCGAGCACAAGTCAGCGAATGAGGAAGTTGCACAGATGATATGCAGGCTGTGAGAGGGAAGAGAGATTTTTTTTTGTTGTTGCATTGTCACACTATGATTTGACAGTCTAAAATGACACATGATGTGACAGAGAAGAATGAGTGGGACTGTGTAGGTATCATTTGACTTTTAACTACATGAAAGGTTGATCCGCCTTTGCAGACGGATATCTCATGAGGAATAATTTGCGCAGCGCTGCGTTTGTTTGTTGCATCTTGTAATTAGAATGATGCTCGCCCACTTAAAATATCCTTCAGGCACGGCTGTGGTTAATGTGTAGTTCTGTAAACTAAGGTAAAAAGGATGTGAAATGGCCGAAAGAGGAAACTGAGCTGCTGTTTGTAACATTTTTTTCCTGTCAGCTTAAAAGTTATTTCCATTTTAACGAGTCCACTCTATTCCTCTTTAAAAATCTGGGCATTTTAATTTTTGCTTCAGGTAGTCTGCTTCCTTTTCGGTTAACATTTTTAGATCTTTTGGATTTTTTTTGGTTGTTGTTTTGTAAACACAGCACTGACTTTCTGCAGTCTCTTTAAGTTTAGCGTCAAATAAGCCTAACTCGCCTTTAATCGTGTCTGAAGTTACTTTACTCGTCCTTTTAGCTCCGTTTCTGGATTCGAGAACCATTCTTATAATTTGGGATTTATTGTTCTTAAATTTATGGTGATTGCAAATCGTGTCTCCATTCATGGCACACAGATGTTTTTATTCTTGTTGTTTCACTTTGACTTTAGATTTAGGCAAGCAGTCACAGAGGGCTCTCCCCTTCCTGTTTGGGCTCAGACACTCTTAGTACGAAATCTGTTACCAAAAACAAAAACTACAGTAAGGACACGTTAATCCCATGAATGAACTAGAAATGAATAATGATGCCTTAAAAAAAATTAAACATTACTGTACTTGTTAAAGTTTTACATTAAAGTTTGTAGAGTGTTTGCAGATCAACATTGCGATTTTAACAAAATGCCCTTCATAACTCAACTAGGAGGCACATGAAGTCAGCTTATCACAGCCATTATGTTTTTCTGATGTTATTTTGTGATATTATTCTGTTACTTGTGTAGTGTTTTGCAAACAGTAGATAAATTATCTTTATTTTCACTGCTCATTCGCTGAGGGTTAAAAACTGCACGTATAGGATTTGCAGTGAAATGCAATACGCTTAAAAATGTTGCTGTATTTGCTCCAAAATACCTTCCAGGAGGGAGCTATGACAGTTCTCCCTTTGGATCACGGTGAAATGGCACCTGAGCTTTATTTCCAGAGCTTTATTTCCACTTCTTCTCTTTTCTTTCAGCATTGACACTAAATCGATCAGAGGGTGCAAGTGAGATTGAACCAGCCCTCAACTGCCACATGCCTGGTGGCAGCATTGTCAAAATGCACATGACAAACAAACTGAGTCTTTATTTTTAGCAGTTTCCTGACCATTTCTTTTGGCTTCGAGTCAAATTACATTTCTGCAACACTGTGGGTTTCATACAGCACTGTGCAAACATTTTGAGCAACCCCTCGCGCCACCCCAGACTTTTTTGGTTTTTTGGTCATGCTTTAAGGCAACCTTGAGTAACTCAGCTCAAAGAATAAACTAGTGTTGTGTCTGCATATGAAGTATGATATTTAAGTTGTATCTTTAGGTATTTTGTTACTAACAACCTATCAGGAAAAAAATTAAAGAAACATTTTTTTCCAATTCTTTAGCTGAAGCCATGAAAAATACCAAAGATAACACAGTTTAACAGGTATAATACAGTAAAATATAACTCAGAAGTATCGTCAGTGTCCTGAACCATCTGAAAAACATGGATGCTCTGTTGTGGTTCGGGGTTGCATTTAAGCTGATTTTGAGGATCCTGTCAAAATTGATGGAATTCTTGATGCAAAAAAAAGCACCATTTGATGTAATACCATACAGAAAGTGTCTGATTGGTAACAGCTTCATTTTTCAGTATGACAATGATCCCAAACACAGACAATGGAGCACTTTAAGTCATGGATTGGTCACCCCAGAGTCCAGACCTCAACATTATTGATGTAGTGTGGGATCATCTTGACAAACAGCAGAACAAAGAAGACCTTTGAATGTCCTTCAAGAAACCTGGAGAACTATTCCTGAAGACTAGTTAAAGAAATGACAAGAAAGGTGCCTGAGAGTTCAGGATGTGTTGAAGAATAAAGGCACTCATCCCAAATACTGATTTTCAAGCTCATTAGAATCACATAAACTGTTTTTGCCTCATTTACTGCATTTATTTTTGCATATTATATTTAATCACTGCACCCATTTACCCATTATCATATATACATTTTGAATTAGGAGTGGCTTGAGACGTTTGTACGGAACTGGACATAGTTTCGCATCTGGCACAAGTGCGCTATTACTTTCAGGCCCATCCAAATTAATCTGTTTATCAGAACAACATGTTGTACCGTGTTAGGTGAGCAGATGAAACAGTCCAATGCTTGCAGTTTAAATTAGATGCAGCAACGCAGCTGATCAGTTTATTGTTTCAAATCACTTCAAATACATGAGGGAAAACACCTCTTACACCTCATGGTTTCAACAGTTTGTCCAGTGAACATCGTGGAAAACACCATAATTTTGTTCAAGATAATTTCCAACGCACCACATAATGACCAATTTATTATGTTCACCTGTTCAGTCTAGACAATTCAGCTGCCCTGCAGAAAATCCTCTTTGTGAAGTTAATAACATTCGGGGGTTTTTTGCTCCGTGAGAGGAGCCGGGCCATCATCTGGAAGCTGTTTTTAGAGGTGCTTATGTATAGAAGTGCATTACTGCTGAGTGGTAATGTACCTAAGAAAGTATGTGTATGTTAACTGTAGCACTTTACTGACAGAAAAAACAGTGAGCTGGTGTCATGTAAACTTTAACAAGGCAACAAAAGACACTCTGCTACAGAAATACAGAAGCTGTCACTAGAAACAGCGTAAGGCCAAAAATACTGAGGATGTTTCAGATTAAACTTTTAAATACAGATTCATCACCTCCACCCCCTCCAAAAAAATAAAAATAAAAATAAAAAATTATTTTAAAGGAATTTCATGGGCTGTTCCTGGTGGTCTAAGGCCAAGAAACATGAAGAGTAAGTTGACTGAAGGTAAGAAAGTACTGAAAACAATCACGGGACATAAGACAAACCAAATAACAATGTCTCGCTGTGGTGGAGACAACAGCCAATTATTTCCACTCTGTAAATTTCCAATTAAAAATCTGTTTTCATATCAATGGCAAACGGGGGGGGGGAAG